TGGTGATCAGAAAAATGGGTTATGCCCCCCTGTGACAGGGAAAGGCCACTCTCCCCCTTCCTGGGGTTCAGATTTTCAACTGGGTCTGCATCCAGATCAAATCCTAGAACTTCAGAGTTGAAAAACTAACCTAGAAACTCAGTCAACCCTCCTCCTTTACGCCTTTTTGCAAGTGAGGAAACTGAGGCCCAGAGAGAAAAAATTAATAATGCAGAAAGGGTCACAGAGCTTCTCTCAAAAACCCTAGTTGCAAATACCGAAAGCCTGACCTTCCACATAGCTGCCAAGCTTGACCATGGTGTACACAACACTTCTAAAGACTAAGAAGTATGGTCATGAGGGAAGAACAGAACCATCAGCTATTCCAGTGATGGCGAACCTATGACACGCGTGTCAGAGGTGACACGCGAACTCATTTTTTTGGTTGATTTTTCTTTGTTAAATGGCATTTAAATATATAAAATAAATATCAAAAATATAAGTCTTTGTTTTACTATGGTTGCAAGTATCAAAAAAGTTCTATATGTGACACGGCACCAGAGTTAAGTTAGGGTTTTTCAAAATGCTGACACGCCGAGCTCAAAAGGTTCACCATCACTGAGCTATTCTATCAATCAGTGGTTCTCACCCCAGTGATTTCTGTCCCCTGGGGGACATATGGCCATATGGGAATGTTTTGGGGGTATTACAACTGGGGAGGAGAATTCTGCTAGCGTGTCGAGGCCAGGGATGCTGCTCAACATCCTACAAGGCACAGGACAGAGCCCCAACAACGAAGAATCACCCAGCTCAAAAAAATCCACAGTGCCAAGATGAGGAGTCCTGCCATAGATGAAATTATAGGAATGCAGTTTGTCCCAGAGCACAGCACACATGTGGGGCTTGCCAGGGGGGCTACCACAGGCCTCCCCTAAACCCCTCATTAGGCAGGTGTGGTGCACTGGGTGTGTCTGTAAACACAGAGGTGCCTGCAACGCTGGGGGGAGTGGGGACAGTAATGCTCAAGAAGTGGCCTATTTTGGAATAGGGCACTGCCTACACCCGCTCCCTGTGATCCTGGCTCTGAGCTCACTCCCACAGAGCCAGAGTCCTGAGGTGAAATAATCGTTTTAAAATGCCCTGATGCCCCAGCAAACCTGACTTTGAAAGCCTCTATGAAAATGCAAAGTGTTCCTGAAATCTTAATCCTCTGAAATGCTTCTGAGCAAGACGGACTCTGAACCCTAACGAACTGAGTCCAGATATGTGGCAAGAGTTGGGAAAACAGCTCCTGGGAGTGGTGTTTGGCTCGGAAATGGAGGCTGGTGGCTAGATGGGGCCAGAGGCCACCTACTTCAAGTCGGAGAAGAACAAGCTGAGATCCAGAAAAAAGGTTACTCAAAGTTCCCTGGTATTAATTTCTGTTGTCAATTAACTAAACATAGAGCCACCTTTTTCAGGGAATTAATGGAATCCAGCTCTGAGGATTGACACCTTTTCTGAACCCACATCTCACAACAGAGCCCACTGTGGTGAAATCCTCCAATTCTCTCTTGCAGCTTTGACAAGACTAGTTGTAGTGCATTATTACATTTCACAAGATAAACGTTGTAGGGTATCATCATCAATCTGAACTTTCTAATGACGGGTCTTTTAATATCTTTCTGTCGGTCTGTCTTTCTTCCAAAGTCTTTCTATCTGTCCTTCTATCTGTTTTTCCTCCAAAGTGTCTCACTCAGCCTTTGGGGCCTTGGGATGGGGTAGGGGTGGGGGGTGGAGGGGGGTGACTTTCGTGGACCAGGTGTTTGAGTTGTTCAGTCCACATTTTGCTCTGTTAGGCCTGATTCTGCATCTGATTTCCGGAGGAAAACCCAAACTCTGCCCTGGGGAACAAACTGAATCCTGAACTTGAGGACACAGGCAGGTGCGCGGAGAATTACCCAAGGAGAGGAATTCCCCGCGAGTCAGGTACAGAACGTGGAGGGCAGAGCGCACGGGGTAAGCACTGAGGACAAGCCCTAGAGGAGGCCAGAGAGTGGGGCGATCGGTGCCGACTGGGGGTGGGAGGGGGGTGTGCAACAGGCAGGTGGAGGGCAGGAGGGAAGTCAGGGAGACTTCTCCGAGGACGGGGGTGTTGGGGCGGCCCCCTAGAGGGGAAGAGGGTGGTCAGGGGGCCCTGGAGGCGGCGCAGCTCCGGGACACAGCCTCACCTGGGGCCCGGCCGCCGCGCTCTGGGCCGCCGCCTCGGCCCGCGCGGCCCGGACACAGCTGGCCAGGACCACGAACCCCGATGGGTCGTCCGGCGCCGCCTCCACCACGGCCGCCTTCACAGACGTGGTGCCCAGGTCGATGCCGAGCACGACCGACCGTGCAGCCATGGCCGTGGGACCAGCGTAGGTTTTGTCCGCTGGGCGGGGCTCCCTCCTGCACCCTAAACCCAAAACCGAGGCACGGGGGCGGGGCCTCGCCGGCCAAGCTGACAGCCACACGCCAAGTGAAGGCTGATCGTCTTCCCATTGGCCGAGGAAGGGGGAGCCGCTCGGCGGGCCCGGCGATAGGCGGAGAGACGGCGGGAGGCGGGACCTGGAGGGCACCGCCCTGTCGGGCTGGGTTCCAGGACCGTGGCGGCGACTGCCCCCGCCGGACAGCCTCTGCCTCGCTCGCAAAACGAGTGCAGGGTCCGCGGACAGGCGCTCGGGGCTCGGAGAGCCTCTGCGTCCCTAAAAGCGGCTGAAGACTCCCTCACACCGAGCCTCCTTCCCTGCTCCGCCCCAACCCTGCTTCAGACTCGTCAAAACTACCGCTCCCAGAGTGCATCGCGGGAACCTATTAACACCGCGAGTCAGGTGACTCGGGTCAGGTGACTTCGGGCCCGCCCTCCCGCAGATCTAGGCGGACCGGGGAAGCGGGTACTGCCCGAAGCATCTCCTACGTCTCGTGGGTCGGTCCCAGAGCCTCCGAGGATCTCAGGTGAGAGCCGGCGCGGCCCCGACAGCCTCCTCCCGCTTCCCCAAGTGGACCCCCTGAGGCCCTGGGGCTGGTGCGGCAAGCCGGTCGGCAGCCCGCCGCCATCCAGCCCTGCTCAGCGGCGCCGGGGTCCATCCCTTGCCACTTGTCCCGTCCTAGCGACCCCGGCATTCCCCAGGTGCGAGGGCCCGGGTGGAGGTGGGCGGAGGTAGGGCTCTCCGTGCTGTCGAGGTGGTGGGGGTGGTCCGAGCCCCTTCCCCGCCTCCCGCTTAGTTGCCGCCTGAATCTGATCGCGGAGTTTACCGGTTGCTTTGGAGAAGGGAGACTCCGAGGGGACCCTTCCGAAACTCCGGTGGAAGTAAGTGCTGAGCTCTGGGCTGGGCTCCAGGGCTGTGGGCAGGAGCCGGCCCCGCCCTCCGGGGGCTTTCGGGCTGAAGAAAGGAAGAACAGCTGGGCTTTGCCTTTTTTGACAGTTTGGAGGAAAATAACAACCCTTGGGCTCTTATCTCAAAATAGGGAATGAAGTCAATTTTCTTAAGGTTTATAGGTTCACAAAGTCAAATATCTGACCACAGTTTTAATAATTTGGGGGGAAAAGAACTCTAAACCAGTAAAACTGCATTCTTTCAGTTAATTAAGTGGCAAGAAGCAGTTGAAGAGGAGAAAATTCAGTATTTGCCTACTTCCTCAGAGTGGGCCCTTACACAACCCACTTAGTGTCTCTGAGCCCATTTCGCTATTAAATTAAAGATAAGCCCTCCCTGGAGTCCTGTTCTCCAAGCTGGTGAGGCAAAGCCCATGAGGCCACAGGCATGAAGTGAAAGTGTTTGATGAACAGTTCATGCCATGGTTCCAGGGGGCATATTGTCCAGGCGGCATATGGCACTTCTGTGGCCACTACCCCACGGGGCATACTGTTGCTGAGCTGACCCAACTTTAACCTGAACTTCTCTTGCTCTTTGTTTTTCTCACTAGTTCTTTGAAATTGAGGAACATGATAAGGAGTTGGCTGATTGTTTTTATCCTTTTTCCCCTGACGCTCATAGAGAAATGTGGTAAGTTTAGAAATGGGTCATCAACTTTGTAAAGAGGGAGATAGAGTAAGGAGCCTGACCTGTTTGTAGGCAAGGATTTAGGACTGTCCAGACTGCGTGGGCTTGCCGGGCCCTTGGTCAAGCAGCCACAGGGTGGTGGAGCAGACCCAGGTCTGGGGTCCAGGAGTTTTACAAGGAGTCAGATGATTCCATAAATAGTTGGCCTTCTGGCGCTCTCCCTTCAGGGAGCACACCCGTGCCATTCCCTTCCCCCTGTCTCTCCCCATGGGCACATATCCCCTAACTTCTAAGGACCCCATGAGACTTGCAACCAGGGGAGAAATGGCCCCTTGTTTCAGTTTCCTAAATATGTTTTTAATGCAGGCAATGCATTCTTGTGTGCTTTTCTAAATAATAAATAACTAATCGGACTTCTGCACTGAGGTCCCTATTACCTTATCTGTATTACCAAAATCAAACTGTGGGTTTCCAACAATCTGGGATAATATCTGTAAAGAAGGGCTTGTGTTCCTGCCCTGTGGACCTCACAGAGGGAGGTATGGGCTCTGGGAGATACTGCAGAAGCGTGATGTGGCCACCTTGTTGAGCCTGGATCTGCCAGGCCACAAAGTCCTAAAGAGTCTGCCCAGCATCCCCTCGTAAGATGAGAAAACCGTTCCCTTCAAGAGGGACTGAGGAACAGGGCCAGGGGGGCCTCGCAGAACCCTGGCTCGTTGTCCAAAAAACACACCAGGGTCCGTACATCCTTACAGGGCGTGACTTTTAGTGCAGGCTCTTGGAGGCCTGTATCATTCTATTAATTCTCCCACTGCCCAAAACACAGCTGAGATTCCTTCCACAGAAGGAATTTGTGCGGAGCACTTCTAGGTCCCCAGGCCCATTATTCTGGCCACTGTCAAAAATCAGACAGATCTTAAAATCCCTGACCAAAGATTTCAAATCAACCTTGTTCAAACAATACAAATCCTATGCAAGCTTGTCAAGAGCCCGGCGCAGTGGCTGTCTACCATCACAGTTATCCGGCCTCTTAAGTCTCTGAGAACATAAGTACCTGACCAGCTCTTCCAGGTTTGTTAAAAGATCAGCCGTGTTACTTTACAGTCACGTGCAGCCTGGTGTTTCTTGGTACAGATGCCAGAGCCCCACTCCGGACCTGCTGGGTCACATTCTCTGGGACGAAGGCCCCGGTATGCATATACACACGGGCATTGGCAGGCTTTACATGAAGCTCCATTAGTAATGCTGATGCATTGCTCTAGAGAAGAACAGCAAACCCACCTCAATTATACAGAGGGGAACTTTAGGCCCAGAGAGGGTAAAGGTCCTCCCCAAAGTCACAGAGCTAGACAGTAACTAAGATGGGACCTGAGTAGGGTCCCTGCTCCATTTTACCATTCTGCCTCCTTTCCTGAGTGTCATAAACAGTGGGAACCACCATAAAATCAATAACTGGAATTGGCTTTCTGAGCTCAGTCTGGCGGGCCTGTCTTCTCCTTGCTTTGGGGAGTGATCGTCAGGGCCCTGAAGTTGGCTTCAGTGGTTGAGCATTGACCCATGAACCAGGAGGCCCCTTTTCGATTCCCAGTCAGGACACATGCCCGGCTTGTGGGCTGGATCCCCGGTAGGGGGCATGCAGGAGAGCCGATAGATGATTCTCTTTTATCATTGATGTTTCTATCTCTTTCTCCCTCTCCCTTCCTCTCTCTGAAATCAATAAAAACA